CATTAGCATGCTCCTGTTGTTTAGAGGCCTGAGGCTGGAGGGCAACACGGAGAAAAGGTTGAAGGGCTGGCTGATCCAGGGGAAGGGCGGGGGCACCTATTGTTTAGAGTTGGGGTGGCAGACAGCAGCTGGATTGTTATCTCTTTTGTGTATAAGGTTTTTTAAATGTTTATTTCTTTTGAGAGAGCAAGCAGGGAAGGGAGGGAGAGGGAGAGGGAGAGGGAGAGAATCCCAAGCAGGCTCCACACTGTCAGTGCAAAGCCCAACACAGGGCTCGAACTCACCATGAGATCATGACCTGAGCCAAAACCAAGAGCCGGACACTTACCCGACTGAGCTCCCCTGTCCCCCCTCTTTTGTATATAAGGTTTATCGGAATACAGCGATTTGCTTTCCTTTATCTATTGTCCATTGCTGCTTTGGAGCTACAGCTGCAGAGCTCAGACTCCTGGGTCTGCCAAACCAACAAAATTTACTGTGACTTTTAACAGACAAGATGTGTTGACTTGGATTTACAGATCATGGAGATGAGGGGTGTCCAGCAAAGGAGGCCAAGGAATAGCCAGAGAGGAGGGAGAGACCCTAGGAGTTCTGCCATAGGACAGGTGGTACAAGAATTTCAATCAATAGCATATTATAAGCTGTGACACTGGGCAGGTTACTTTGGCTTTAACAGTAGTAGCTCAGGAGTGTTAAGATGGAATGATAGAGGTAAAGCACTCACAGCTGTGCCAAATGTATAGCAAGTGCTCAGGAAATGTTCCTATAGCACCCATTTCTACCTGCTTAGCCTGTTATTCTCAGCTTGGGCTCTGTCCTAGACTAGCATCAGGGTGTTTGATGACTGGGGGGCGCCCCCCCCCCGAGTAAGCCCCAGACCTTGCTCAGGGCCCTGAGGAAGCAGGGGGAGGGTGTGAGCCAGGCCCCCCTGCTCCGATCCTGCATACCACCTTGTTCCCCAGGGGGCCTTGAAGGAGTGCTCTGAACCTCCAGCATCTACTTTGACAGTCTTTACTGAAAGCCTTTGAGCAAATGGTAAATCCATCTCTATGAGGTTACCAATGTCAACACATTCCTTGTATCAAAATTTGATAGGCTCCTGTGGGGCTGTGCCTTTGACAACAGTGGCTGGCAGGGCTCACTTGAACAATTCTGCAGCATACCCCTCATGTTGAAGAAGGGTCTTGATGTCCCATGTAGGCCCAGGACGTTTTCTCTCAGGACAAGCTTGGATGAGAAGCTTGAAGAGGGAGTGAGGCCTATCAGGGCTCTACAAATCCTGGCTCCAAGGCTTGGAAAGAAATACCTTGCATCCATGTACTGTTTTGGCATTTAGCATGCCAGCTTCACCCCTGGTCTTCTCTGGGTGAGGAGTCACAGGAGCCCATAGAAGTGTCTGTCCTTTTAGGCAGGTCATAAAGGAGAATTTGGCCTTTGCTATTTGTTCTTGCATCTATTATTGGCCTCCTCCTTTCTGTAATGGCTAATTCCCCTGGTTAGTCTCTACAGCAGTGGTTCCCAAAGTATGATCTGTGGACCAGCAGCATCACCTGGAAATTTGTTCGAGGCTCTATCTCTGACTCATGGAGTCAGTGGCTTTTGATGTGTGACCTTGGGCAAGTGAGTTAACCTCTCTGAAATGCAGTTTTCCTCTATGGGATGTTGGAATACTGCCAGCACAGGATTGTTGTAAAGGTTAAAAGAGATGAGTCCAACAGGTTCTCCAGGTGATTCAGATCATGCTAAAGTCAGAGCTACTCCTCTAAAGATTCTTCTAAAAGATCCCTATTTTTGGACAATGAGAGAAGTTTCTGCTAAGAGAATTTTTCAGATTTTATTTATCCCTTTATGTGTCTCAAACTGTTTTAAATATGAGCTAATCTTTGAGTCATCTTTCCAAAATAAATGCATTCTTATTTTCTTAAACATTTTGTAGGATATCAGTAATAGTTTAGCCTTTTCTTAAAGACTCGGGGCATAATCCATGTATAATCATTGCTATGTTGGGTATAGGAATTTTGGTATCATATTTCTCTGTTTTTGTATTCTTTACCAGCTTTTTAGTATTTAATTTCTTTTTTGGTTGTTTTCTTTTTCATTTCTGGATGTCAGCTCTTCTCACCATAAGTACCACTAGTATGAGCCTCATTACTTTCTAACTTCTTATTTTTAAATGGATTTTGTACAGGGACTGAGATAGCCAAGATGGTTAATAGGTGCACAAAGCAAGAGTAAATACGTGAGAGAAAAATGAGATTAGGTAACTGAGGAGCTGAAGGACTTTTTATATTTATTTAAAAAATTTTTTAATGTTTATTTAAAAAAATGTTTTTAAAGATGTTTTTATTTTTGAGACAGAGAGAGACAGCATGAGCAGGGGAGGGGCAGAGAGAGGGGGAGACACAGAATCTGAAGCAACCTCCAGGCTCTGAGCTGTTAGCACGGAGCCCGACACAGGGCTCGAACTCGCAGACTGTGAGATCATGACCTGAGCTGAAGTCAGACGCTTCACTGACTGAGCCACCCAAGCACCCCTAATGTTTGTTTATTTTTAAGACAGAGACAGAGTGTGAGTGGGGAAGGGGAAGAGAGAGAGGGAGACACAGAACCTGAAGCAGGCTCCAGGCTCTGAGCTATCAGCATAGAGCCCAACGCTGGCTTTGAACTCACAAACCATGAGATCATGACCTGAGCCGAAGTCGGACTGCCAACTGACTGAGCCACCCAGGTGCCCCAGGAATTTTTATTTATTTATTTACTTTTTTACTTTTTATTTTTTTCATTCTTTTTAGTTTTAATTCTTCTTCCTCTTCTTCTTTTTTAATATGAGGAGTTTTTATTTTTAAGTATAAGTTTCTGTACCTAAATTTCACATGATCAAATTTGGATTCTTGTGTGTGTCTGTTTACTTCTGATTGTATTCTCAATAATTACTGTTTTGAATGACTGAAAAATTGTTAAATAGTACTCATCCCTCAATACATCTGAATGTTTCCTCTCACCATATTACACTTTTCTATGTTTTGCCTATCTTTCTTCCTTTGTTATTGACGTATGTATTTCCCAGAAATTTTCGTAACATCGTCCATTCTCATGTAAATGAGTGCTCTTTGGAATCAAAGATAATTACTAAATGTGAGATGCCCCCCTCTTTCACTCCCCTTTTTCCTGTTGTATTTCCACTCTTGTTTCCTAATGTAGCCTGGGGGAGAGCACAAAGTACTGACACATAAAAACCTTTGGATTCTAGGCGAGGTTCTGCCATTAAGTGACTATGGAATTAAGTGAATCACTGGGCTTCTCTGGGTCTGAAGCTGTAACATGATCGTGCCTGCTCTGCCTTCCTGCAGCAGTGTAGCAGGAACCCAAATAAACAGTGCAAGTGGAAATACAACACCATATTCACCTGGGGAGCATCACTATTAGGATGTAGTCAAGGCTTTTTGGCTTCATGGAGGTTTAAAGGTTGTTTCTTCCGTGTCCCTCTGCCCCATATTCAGCTGCCTTGGCTCAGAGACTTCAGGACTGTGGTGTATTTTCTGTCTTGCTTCAGAGTGTGCCCAATCAACACAGACATAAAATGAGGCCATAAAGAGAGAGCTGATATTCACCATAGAAAATGTTGGCGGGAAAGACAAAAATACTCAATGACAACTCCACAAATAACCCTTATTATGGTTTTGGAAGGTACAATAGTGTGTGTAATGTGTTGTTTTGGCTGTTCTCACTGCTCAGGAATCTGGTGCATTCTGAGATGTGAGGTACTGCCAAGTATTTAGACTGTGTGCCTGCTTGGCACCTGCAGATTCCTGGAAGGACTGGGGTCTCTAGATGTAGGCTTGCCACCAGGATCCTCAGATAGGCAAGGACATATATCCCACTGGTTAAGGCCATTCTGGAATTTGGTGACAACAAGGTCAAGGAGGCCCTTAGAAGCCCACCACCAGTGAGATCCAAAGAGACATCCACTCTCCTAAGCAGCCTGCTCCCTTAAGTTGTGTATTTGTGTGCCTTCTCCCCAGGAGAGGATGCTCACAGCTACTGCTCCTAAAGGACATGTGAGAAGATTTTCATGTACTTCCTACAGGAAGCTTCTGGAAGGGCTGATCCAGTTCATTTCACTTCCTTTCTGCCATCCCTAATCTGCCCACTCTTTAACGCCCAGTTTAAGTCTGACCTTCCCTATGAAATCACCAAAGACTTGTGTCTTCATGACCCCTTCTCACCTTTGGCCTCTTTAGTCATTGTCTGGGATTCTCTTTGACTCTTACCATCTGTTACCTTGTTATGTAAATTTATAACAGGTGTGTCTTCCCATGTTTCTTCTGACTTTCAGCATCTTGAAGGAAGTGCAAGGTCTTAAAAACATTGGTTCTGCTCTTGGGCCAGGATGCACGTTGGGCAGTAGTGATGTCCTCTCCACCTGGACTAGAAGGTGTGGAAGGTTGCTCCAGGGTAAGCAAAGGCAGCAGGGGAAGAAGGAAGAACTAAGTGAATTTAAAGCCTGACAGTTCGCTTTGAGCTTTTTATCTAAGGGGGTAAGGGAAGTCAAAGCCGGACACAGTCAAGGTTAGTGGTCAAAGGAAGAGGAATCAGGCAAGTGGCTCAGGACTAAGCCTGTGAAGTATCCCGTGCTGGGGTTAAGAGGCCTCTTTGCTGTTTTGTGGTGCTCTTTGTGGTGTGGAAATAGGCCATTCCTCTTAAAGGATTCATGCAGGTTGGACATTTAGAGCGTGGTCTACTCCCAAGGGCAAGGTGTATGGGAGTGTTTTGCTCACTTCTGCTCTCCATCTGTAAGGAGAGCATGGTCCCGCTGTCTTCACCTGTGAGCACAGTTGTTGGACTCAGTCCTTTCTTGCTCTGTAGTCCTAGCAAATGAGTTGAGGGAATTGGGAGCTGACCAATCTCTTATGTAATGATGGGATGTTCCAAGGAGTACCTTTTAAAAAGCATTTTGGATATAGCAACATTTCCTTTATCAAGCAGTGGAGGCTTGGAACCCAAAGCTAGACCATTCCTAAAGAGAAGTTTAATGTGTTCTTCATTGAGGATGATGATCCTGTACAGTTAAGAACAGAACGGAAAGCTTGCATGGGTTTGGGGATGGAGGATGGTGAATTGCAGTGGCTTAGAAATGGGATGGAACAAAATGGTGGATGGTGACTATCATCAGAGAAGTAAATTCTATTTTTACAAGAAAAAAGATGTGGAGACAGTGATGCATATAGACCTCCAGCTTTTGTTAGCTGTTGCCTAGTGTTATTGGTACTCAGGAGATCTTCTTATCTGTAGGAAGAGGTTTAGTTTTGGAACTAGTGAGCTGGGTCCCCATGAAAGCATTCTAAAGACCACTTTGGAGCAGGAGGGCCAGTGAGAACAGAGTGGAAAATTGTCTTGGTGAACTGAGACTCCCTCAGAGAAGTTGCTCACATCTGTGTATGGGGACAGTGCAAAGCAGGGTGATGCTGTAATATACATTCTTAGCATCTGGGATCTTGGGAACAGTAAATTTGGATTTAGTAGGTCTGGATGGGCCCAAGGCTGAGTTTCTAACCAGCTTTTGGGCACTGTTGATGCTGCTAATCTATGGACCATGTTTTGGGTAGAGAGATGGTGGTGGGCACTGGAGGAGGAAACTGTAGACCTGAGTTCCAGCCATGCCCTGGGCAAGTCGCTGACTCTCTGAGACCCACAGTTTCTTCTATGACAGCAAATGAGGGAAATGGACTAGACTGTTTAGTTCTATGGTGCAGAATTTCTGTTACAGTCCCAGAGAGACTTAGACTTCTATCTTGCTCTTCCTTACAGTGGCCTTTTGGCCCTGGAGGTTGTGCCCAGTGGTCTTGCAGCATGGGGGATTGCTGGGTTCATTCACCATGTGTGAGTGATCAGCCTTTGTTCACCGCATTTAAGAGAGATATCAGATTCTCTTGTTACTTGAAAGAAAAAGAAAAAACAGTTCAATGACCCCCTGCCCCATCTCCATTCCTCTAATGGTTCAGAAGTGGCTTTCCCTTCTTCCCTTACTACATGTTTAGGTTCACATTGTCCTTTCTGTCTAGGAAGCTGGCTCACTGGGCCACCCTAAAAGAATGCTCAGGCCTCCGACCTCGAAATCTATTTCTCTGAAACGAGATGTCCAGTGTATTCACTATAACAATAGCTGCCAGGCCTATTATGGTTATGTAATAGGTTTCTTTTTTTAACCAGGTCTTGAAAATGTGTGCATTATCCTTTAGGTAATAAATGAAATAAAAAAGGCTGAAAATAAATTGGCTTTGCAAAGTGGGACTGAAGATTTTCTACTAACTGCTCTCTTCTTTCTTTCTTTCTTTCTTTCTTTCTTTCTTTCTTTCGCTCTTGTTGCTGTTTTAGGAACTGATGGCAAGTGATTTCTTTTTAACCCTTTTTTAAGGACCCAGTTCTTATTGGCTATTGAGACTTTGGCCTGATGCCGAAGAGGCCCCCAGACAGTTGTTGTGAGAATTGGGGGCAGAGGGGTATGATTCAATAAAACATTGTTATGTGTCCTCTGATAGGAGGTGGGTTCTGCTGCCCAAGGCTCATTCTGTACCTTGCTTTCTCCACAACGTATCACTGTTATGGTGGTTGCAGTAGGAAAAACATGTCTTCCTGGACAGATGTGTCACCTGAGAGCTGAAAGGTGACAGAATACCCCAATTGTCTAAGCGTGGCACCAGGGTCCATTTCCTTTTGACCTTCTTAGGCTCCTTCTTCTCTGCCTCTGTGAAATTCCATTAACACCTTAAATATAGCACGCAGATTGACTTACAGGTTACGCAGTCTGCTCTGTGTGCAGTAGGCCTATTGCTCTACTACAATTGAACTGTTTTTCTGATGAATGTGTTCATAGTACCCACCCCACTTCTAGGCAGGGTGTATGACAGCTGGGGACTAGAAACGGGACAAAACGTTATCTGAACTCATAATCCCTCTACCCAGGGAGGGGCTGACGGAGTGACAACAGTTAATCTATAGGAGGACCCATGTGATCTGCTGCTGAAGAAGCTTTTTTGGCTTGCAGAGGGATAAGGGAAAGTACCATGGGAGGCTTAGGTCTGATGTTGGTGGGAAGCGACCCCGCCTTTATTTTGTGCACATAGACATTGAATGGCGATTGTCTTGAATCATATGATTTCACTCCTCATTAGTATTTCTCCTCCGTGTTCCCTGACCACACTTTCCTCCTTGGTGTATGGAAAGCTATTAACAATACACACACGTGGCACATCTATGGAGCCATTATTGCTGCTGGATAGCTGTGTTTGTGTAAAATATTGAACACCCCATGAAGATTTATAATAGTCACCCTGCCCCCTAAACCCTGCTTCTTCCTTTTTCTCTATTTAAAGATACGTTAACAGTTCTGGTTCTATCTGGAGGGGGAAAAAAAAAAACAACAACTTTGAAGTGAGACTGCATGAAGACAAAAATGCTTATCTCTGAAGATTTCCGACTAGAATGAGCTTGGAGGTCTTCTGAGGAGCAGGAGGGTTGACTGAGGCACGGGGGTAGCATAGCTTCACTACAGGGTGGTGCACTTCAGTATCTCTCTGGTCTGTGTCCCCACTGCGAGTCAGACTCCCTACTATGGGCTTACACTTACAGGTACACACTTATCTGGTGCTCATAATACTTTGCTGATGCCTTTTCTAAGATCTGCGTGGGGTGTTTTCTCTTGCTTCAACAACATGGGTATGTCTTGGTTCTAAGGGACCCTGTGACTTCCTAAAGTATTAGTTTTTGCTCTTCTTTTTTGTCAGTGGAGGGTACTGGTGGCTGTAGTTTGGTCCCGGGTTCTATGAGCCAGGGCTTGAGGCAGGAGGTGAGAAAATAGTTGTCCTCGCCCAGTGCAGGGGCTCTGTTTCCAGGCGTTTCACAGACCACTGATACAATGAGTGCTCTGTGGGTAACTCAGAGTTTAGCTTCCTCTGTGCTTGTTGAACTGTCTCTCATCACCTCTGCTCAACTCTCTTGTCCTAGCCTCCTCCCAACCGAGAGGGCCCAGGTGTGCAGAATATTGCATTCCTGTGATGCTAACATCGTGTGCACGATACAGGAGGTCCTGGGGGGAAGAGGCTGCTGGGGCCTGTGGTCACAATGGCCGGCTCTCTCCTTCTACCTCCCCTGCACCCCTCCCCCAACAGGCCCTGGGCACACGGTGTGCAGCATGCTCTAAGAGCAGGGAGCGACATGAGGCAATGTCTGTGGCAAAGGGGAGAATGCGTGCTGAGCCTTGGGAGGTGCCGATTGGCTGGCAGTGAGGTAATGCAGTGCAGTCTAAATGTGGAAGCAGCAGTACCAGCATCGAGGGCGTGCCTCCTCAGCTAGCTGAGTTAACTGCCAGCATCTGAAGGACAAGGTCTCCGAGGGCTTCTTCTGACCTTGTGTGGCTGGCTGGCTCACAGGGCAGCGTCTGTGTGGTGAAGACCAGATGGCAGGATCTATGTTGTCATTAGTGTTCCCTACCCCTAAGCCCGCTGCTATTCTGACCTCTGCTTTTAAATGGCAGGGTAGGGTAGAGGAGCTTGAAAACGAGGGTCTAGACCTACCCAGGTAACGATGTATGGCACTTGAGGATTGGGATGGTTTCCACCATAGTCGTTGTTTTAACTCTTTTAATGATGTGGACCACCTCAGGGTCCTTCTTTCTGTGTAAAATTCCGGGTCCATAAATCGGCCAGAGTCTACACTCAAACGCTTCATTCCTTCCTACTAGTACTTCCTACCACTTAGTGTCAGTGGCATTTTTAGCCACGAAGAACTGAGGAATTCAAGAGGACACCACAGGGTATACTTCTTTTTAATAAGACACCTTGGAGAGCAATGCCACCAAAATGGTGATACACATTTTTCCTTACTTCACTCTCCCTTATAAGAACAACTAACATCTCTTCAAGATATCACCGAGAGATTCCTAGAACATGGGAGTAAGAACATGGAAGCAACCCCTTGCATCTTGAAGACCAAGACAGACTACATTAGAAGGGTGAGAGAAGTGGCTACAAGTGGACCACATCGCCCCTCCCCCAGGACAGTGCTACCTCATGCAGAGAGGTTTCCTCTGAGCCTCTGGTTCCTCTAGTGGGAAAGAGAATCAGTCTCCCCCAGCAATGTGGGTCACTTTGTGGGAGCTCCTACCCCAATCTTGCACCTTGGGGATTGCAGGGAGATTTGTGGGGCCTGACCACTGGGAATCTGACTGTGATGGAGAAGGAGGAGAGGGGATTACAACGACTGGCACAAGGATCTTGGCAGACTGAGTTCAGACCTGCAGTGACCAGGTGGTAAGCCAACCAGTGGTTTTGCTAATCTACAGAACCGTATGGGGGACACACTACGACCAGGGAACTCAGGGTGCAGATCTGCCTGATATGGATTCTTAAACAAGGAGTTTCCTGGCCCAGGCAAGGTGCTGAGTCATAGCCCCACCCATTGTGGATGGTGCCTTCAAGCCCCATCTGAGCAAAGGTCTAGTGACAACTCCTGGAAGCTTTGCAGCCCAGTGGTACTCAAATTGAGAGGCAGACAGACAGAGCTGATGGTCCCTAGAGCTAAGCCAGTACTGGGTATTAAAGCTTCTCTTGATATGCACAGGTAGGTGGATTAATTCATAGCCAAGGCTGAGGGTAGCTTCTGGCTCCTCCCAAACAGAGAGCCTGTTTGGGAAATTGAGAGTAGCTTGGAGCAGCCTCTATCCCTCCTGCCCAGGAAAGGGGTTGAGACATAGCTTCACCTACTGTGGACAGTGTCTTCCAGCCCCATTTCACCAGAAAGGCTGGCGACATCTCTTGGAAACTGTACGGCTTAGTGGCATTCAAGCTGTGAAAAGGGCAGACAGAGCCAATAGTTTATAGAGCAAAGCCAGTGGTCCTGGTCAGTCAGGGAACTTGGAGGTGCAGGTTGGCTAGAGTTAAGACAACAAAGAGCTTTACCAGTTTTAGAACTGCTTCTCCTACTGCCCCCGGGTAGGGAAGCTAATTCA